GACCTGAGCTGAGCTCTCCCGTCTCCCCGTGGGTGTGGAACTCGAGTTCTCCAATTCGTTGCTTTTTTGACTCAGAACCAGGTCCAAAAAGGCCAGAAAACGCAAAGAAAGCTACAGCCAGCTGCTCCCATAGACAGCGTGGGTGCTGGGAAGACCTGTCCCCGTGCCAGACACCCTTTTAATCCAGAAACAAAGAATTTGAGACTCAAGTTCAAAGCTAACTTCCTAAAAAGGAACTCAGCAGAAAAGAAAGCTTTCCTCTGACACCCAAGAATCCACCAGGGAATGTTTTTATCAGTTGGTTGAGAACAAAACAAGGCTTTATAGAGGTATGCACTTTCTGAGCCGATACACAACAGAATCATGAGCAGCAGCTGGCTTGCCAGGGGCTCTGCAAGCTGGAAATGGCTGGGAATCTTTTGTCGTTGCCCCCTCCCGCCCTTGGTGGGGTGGTCGGGGGGAGTTAATGGGACTCCTCGGGTGTAGAAAGGCTCTGAGTGGGAAGTTGGGGCTTTTAGTCTAATTATTTGGATGTCAGGGAAGGGAAAGGAAGCAGTTGAAGCCTGAAATGAGAGTGGCAGACTAGGCGAGCAGCTGGGGGTCTGACCCCCTCATCCCTGCTGGACCCTGAGGGTCTGGGGCAGGCACAGTCCACCTCTTGCTTCCTGGCTGCAGGAAGTGTCTTTTCGGGATTCCTGTCACGGTGGCCAAACTCCTGGTTCAAGCATGTGGATTAATGTATATGGGATTGAGTATGACCCTCCCCACAAGTCAGCCACCTGGGGCTGAGTTTTGCCACTTCTAATGGGACCCAGAGCAAGGTCCTCAGGGTTGAGCTTGCCGGCCTTCCAAGTGCTGGTCCCTGCCCCAGGTTCCCAAGCTTCTCTTTTTATTTTCTTCCTGGTACCGGGAATCGAACTCACAACGTTGCACTTGCCAGGCAGGCGCTGTGCCACTGAGCTAAATCCCCAGCCTCCCCAAGCTACTCTTGTCCCTTTAAGGCCACCGTCCACATTGCCCATCCCCCTGGAGAGTAACTGTATTGAATTGAAATCCATCTCCAAGTGGAAACCACTCTGATAGTAAAGAGTCAGCAGCCCATTTTTAGACTCATCAAAGTCAAAATAATTGATGAGAGCTTCTGACTACCAGAGACCCCAAGGCAGCAGGTGTACGAAGCTTCAAACAACGGGGGCAGCAACACAGGAAAGCCAGTGGCCATGGTGGTAACAGGTGAATTTCCCATGAGACTCCGTCCTCATGAGCTTCTGGGGCCCAGCATCATGGCCGGGGCACCTCCACCTTCCCTCTGCCCAGCAACCTGTCCCCTTGCCTCCTGTAACTAGTGTCACGTGTCCCTGGGAGGCTCCTACCCACCCTCTTGAGGCCCCTCTGTCCCTTTGTCATCTGAGTAACATTCTCTTTAAAGAACTTGTGGTATTCAGTTAGGATGTCAAAAAGCGCCACCTTCAAGTCAGAGGACCTCGCTATTTACTCTATAAAGCTGTGTGCATCAGCTCGCCTGCTGCAGAATAGTTAATATTTGATGGAAGAATGTTTAATGATGCCCACCTCCTCCCTGCACCCCTCTTGCCCCGTTGGCAATCCCCACTCTCCAAGTTTGAACGTGAGTTATTCTCCACTGCAAACATTGGGTGAGTTGCTCAGACCCCCAGTGGCCACCCAGGTAGCTGAGTGTCTGGGACTGTTGTCACCCTGAGGATGGGGGACAAGCTGGCAGCCTCCCTGGGAGCTTCCTGCAGTCCTGAGATAGAGTCCCACCCCTGCTTGGAGGTCTCCAAAGTGGACATGAAGGCTGAGGCCAAAAAAAGGGACTTCCTTTCTCCTGAGGAACGCCGGGCCCAGAGAGGAGGCCCCACTCGGCCAGCCAGCCCCGCTCAGTGCTGTGGCCGGTAACTGTCACATCCTGTGCTTTCTTCCCCGAGCGGGCTGCTGGCCAAAAGCCGCCATCATCCCACCCAGCCCAGGTCCAGGCCCCCAAGTGTGGCTGCTCAGGGTTTAACTGATGGGCAACGAGGGGCTTTGCCCTTGGGGTGGCACTGGGGGTGATGCAGCATCAGAGTAGACTCCTTCCTGGAGAAGCCCCTGGCCCGCGGGGGTGGCAAAGGACACCTGCGCTGGGGCTGTGCGTGTCTGAATTAAGGCTGGAGGCTCACTGGCTTCCTGGGAGAAACAGTGGCTCCTGTGTCTCTTGGAGTGGCAGCTTTGGATTCCTTGGGGACCCTGGGCAGCTACCCACAGTCAGAGCTGGTTTGTCCTTCTGAGCTTTGCGGGCTGCGGCAGGAGTCTCATAGGCAGAGCACAGCATGCGTTTTGCAAAGCAGTGGTCTTGCTCAGGGCTGGGAGATGCTATGTACACCGCCTGTACCCACTGGCTTTCCTATGAGGACCACAGGGGCTGAGTCCAAGAAAACCCAGACACAGGGGGAGATGGGGAGGAGAGCCGAGTTGAGAGACGGGGTCTGATGTCTACTTTGAGAAAGCTCCAGAGTCTCCAGGAAGATAAAATAGGTAAAACGCTTGAAGACATAAGTGTAGGCAAGAACTTTCTGTTTTGTTTTGTTTTGTTTTTTGGAGACAGGGTCTTGCTATGCAGTTCAGGTTGGCTTTGAACTCACTGTGTAGCCCAGGCTGGCCTCGAATTTATGGCAATCCTTCTGCCTCAGCCTCCTGAGTGCTGGCACTATAGGTGTGCGCCACCATGCCCTGCAATGACTTTCTGAACAGACCCCTATTTGCATAAAAAAAACCGAAATAAACAAATGGGGTTATAGCAATGAAAAAGCTTCTGTACACCAAAGGAAATCACTAGCAAAGTGAAGAGACGACTTACAGAATGTGCAAAATATTTTGCCAGCTACTTCTGGGACAGAGGACTACTATTTAGAATATATAAAGAACTCAAAAACAAATTAGACTTCCCAAAATAAAAGACCCAAATGAGAAATGGGCAACTGAAATGAATAAACACAGTACAAATGGCCATAAGGACATGAAAAAATGCTCAACCAGAGATCTAATGATCTAATGCTCTCTTGTCATTAGAGGAATGCAAATTAAAACAACCCTGAGGTGTACCCTGTGCTGGAAGAATAGCTATTAAAAAGGAATCAAATAATAAATGCTGGTGAGGCTGTGGGGAAGAACAAACACTTTCACATTGTTGGTGGGAATGTAAACTATTGCAACCACTATGGAAATCAGTGTAGAGATTCCTCAAAAGACTAAAAATAGAAATTCCATTCAATCCAGCTATTCTCCTTCTAGGTATCTTCCCCAAAGAGTTAAAAACATGTTACAGTAATGCACATGCACATACACATTTATAAAGTAGTATACACGCACATACACATCTATAGCAGCACAATTCTTAATAGCTAAATATTGGAGGCAGCCCGACAGATGACTGGATAAAGAAAGTGTGATGATTTATACACTATGGGGTACTACTCAGCCACAAAGAAGGATAAACTTGAGTGTTTTGTAGGAAAATGTACTGGGCGTGTCGGTGCATGCCTGTAATCCTAGCACTTGGGAGGCTGAGGCAGGAGGGTCATTGCGAGTTCAAGACCAGCCTGGGCTACAAAGTGAGATCTTGTTTCAAAAAGACCAAAAAAAGAAAAAGTATGTACCTCCAGACCATAATGTTAAGTGAAATAAATCAGACACACAAGCTTAAATATCACATGGTTTCTCTTATTTGAGAAATCAAAATATAAATAAGTTAAAGAGCAAAATAAAAGACAGATAGCAGGAAACAGGACATAAACATTTTGCAGATGGAAAGATAACCAAGAGATGGGGGAGGGGGAGAGAGTGGAGGGGAAGAGGCAGTGAAGGAATTAGGATGTGCTATGTTCATGGACGGACTCCCCGCCATAAATGTGATCATTATGGACTTTATTTTATTTTATTTTATTTTTTTTTTGCAGTACTGGGGATCGAACTCATGACCTTGCACTTGCCAGGTAGGCACTTATGCTACTGAGCTATATCCCCAGCCCAAATGTACTAATAAAAATAAAAATTAAAAAAAGACTCCCCAGGAGATGTTACCTTCTACTTTTTAATTTTTTTCAGTACTAGAGATTGAAATCAGGACCTTTGCACTGAGCTACATCCTTAGCCCTTTTTCATATTTTTTTAGTTTGAGACAGGATCTTGCTAAATTGCTGTGCTGTCCAGCATGAACTTGAGCTTGCAATCCTCCTGCCTCAGCCTCCGAGAGTTCTAGGATTATAAGCCTGTGCCACTACCCAGGTGGCTTCTACTCTCCAAGGCAAAGCAGAGCCAAAGGGCATGACACAGCATGGGCAGGTGTGAAAAAGAAAGGGAAAATGGAAGGGAAAAAGCAGAGAGAGAAGAGGAGGACAGGACACGGAAGCAGGAGGGGACACAGGGGAGTGTCCCACCTCAGTCCCCCAAGGGCAGTGACATGCCTGGGTCAATGGAAGTCAGCACAAGGGTCAAGCTCACGCATCAAAACTCCCACTGTAAGTAGCAGGCGGCCGAGTGACCTTCCCAGTGTTGACCAAGATGGTCAAGAACTTTCCACCATCACCCCAAGAAAACTGTGTTGTCCCTGCTGTGTCATTCCAGGCCTCGGCTGCACCAGCCAGGGTCACACACTGGGAGGACAGCAGTGAGGGCGGGGTCTCTTGGGCTCCCGAACCAGGTCCCCACCTCCCACCGTGACTGCTGTCCCCAAGCGGGTGGCCCGCCCCATCCGGAGGGTCTGGGACCCAGTGCAGCGTGAGGCCGGGTTGTTCTGAGATTTGTAATGATTTTTTCACCCTGCAAGGGACACAGCCGCTCTAGTTCACTGCCTCGCTTGTCCCCACAGTAAGAATAATCAGATCAGGCCGGAGGGGCAAAGCCAAGCCCGGGACACTGCTGGGCTCTTGTCCACTCAGCAGGGACTCTGTTCCCTGTCACCTCTCACCCGATCTCATTCAGAAACACCAAAGCCGTCCACTCACCAGCAGGGGCAGCTCCCGGGCGTGGGTGCCCTGGTCAGCTCTTCCTCTGTGACTGCTGTCCCATCCAGGGCCCCAGCACAAGCCCACGTGTCCCCAGCTAGATCCCCAGCTCTCGGCTCTGCCGGAGGGAACCACAGGCCAGGGCCCGTCCTCTCCCTGCGGAGCTTCCCCGGGAGGGAGCATTCCTGACCTTCAGACCCGCCCGGCCTGCGGCTGGCACGGTGCCTGGCCTGACTGGCACTTCCTGGCTGGGTGTTTACCTGCCTGCCCCCCACCCCACACCTGACCCAAGGCCACATAGGGCGTGCGGCGCTTCCCAGGCAGGGCTGGGAGTGGCTGGAACGGCGCCCCCTGGTGTGAGGTCCTCCCGATTGTCCCCGAAGGAGGGACAACCACCCCAACACACCCTCTCTTATAGACAGTTCAGGTAGATAGAAATGAATAGTCAGTCAAACGAGTGGGCCCTCGAGGGATTCAGTGCAAAAGAAAAAGCAGCCTGGTGTGGTGGCGTACGCCTGTAATCACTTGGGAGGCTGAGGCAGGAGGATTGCCACGAGTTCAAATCCAGTCTTGATAAAACAGTGAATTCAAGGCCAGCCTGAACTACATAGCGAAATCCTGTCTCAAAAAACCAAAAAGAAAAAAAAAAACAGGAAAATACATCAAAACTGTAACCTGAGGCACATGTGAAGAAGGCCCAGCCTCAGGGTGGAGACACAACGGCCGGGCCCATGAGCCCCCCTGCCCATAAACAACAGCTGTAATCAGCACCGCCTGGCCCCACAAGCCCAGATAGGCATCCAGGGGTGACCAGTGCAACTGTGGACCCTTGCTCCATCCCCTGAGTCTCCACTGGATCCGTGTCAGCCGAGCAGCTCTCCAGTGATCCTATGGGGTGACTGCAGTGACCCATGTTGTACCCCTCTGGTGACTTTGCTGCATAAAATATCCTTGGACAAGGACCCTCCATGGCCACCCACTCGGGAGCCTCCTGTCCCTCAGGAGCTCTCTCTCCATGAACTTTCCCTGCTCTTGACCTCCTTTGGCCTCATAATTCATTCTTGGATATTCAGTGTCCGGGAGACACAGACTCCGCACCTCTGACATCCAGCAAGTGGGAGTTCCTTTCCCCCACTCCCTGCACCAGCCGGGCCAGCCACACGGTTCAAATCTGAGTTGTGAGGAAAATTTGGGTCTTTTGTGCTTCTATTCACTACGTTTCTTTCTTTCTCTGTCTCTTCCTTTCTTTCTTTCCTTTCTTTCTTTTTGAGACAGGGCCTCACTATGTAGCTCAGGCTGACTTCAAACTCACAGCAATCCTGCCTCAGCCTCCCAAGTGCTGGGATTATAGGCATGCGCCACCACACCTGGCTCTATTCACTTTTTATGTTTCATACATATCAATATCTCTCTTTATTATAAAATAAACTCATGTTAATCGCACAGACTAATGGGGTTTGCAGTGCCATTTCCATCCTGCACGCATCATGCTTTGTTCCTGCCCTCCCTGCTGCCTCACCCCCGCCCTTCACCTACCTTCTATCTCCCTGTCTCCTTCCTTGTGTCCTTCCGCTGTCCTGGTAGAGTCTCTCTTCTACTTTTAGGTCGTCCTTTTTTGTTTGTTTCCACTTAGGAGAGGAAATGTGTGCTATTTGTCTGTGACTGTATATTTTGTTCAACATGATGAGCTCCAATTCCATCTGTTTCCTGCACTTGGCATGATTTCTGTCTTAATGTGGAATGAACTTCCTCTGCGTATATGCAGACCCTATTTTCCTGATACCTTTGCCTGCTGGCAGGCACTGGGCCAACCCCACACCTCGGCTGCCAGCAACAGTGCCGCCGTGAAGACAGGGACACGAGAATGCCTTTCATGCTGACTTCAGTTCCTTCAGCTAGGGGCCCAAGGAGTGGCACAGCTGGATCATATGGTGAAAAGGAAAAACTACCAGAAAAATTGTTCTTTTGAAACTGCTTAGCTCCGTCACTGCCTCCTGGCTCTGTAGTTCCTTCCCTGACCCCCATAACCGTGAGAGCATAACTGAACATGCAGGATGTCTGATTGTACCAAGCTTTGTGCTCATTAACCTAGGTGATCTCACCCTGCTAATCAGAGAACTGCCAGGCTGTTCTGTCTCGCCTTTGTATGTTCTGCTTGTGCATCATATAAAAGCCCTAGGCCACCAAAGGTCGGGCCTGATATTTTGGGAATGATCCCAATTAGGGCCTGTTGATGTAAAATAAATGTGCCTCCAAATCCTGGCTGTCTTTTTGGTGTTTCTGTCTGCTGCAGCAATGGTAGATTTATTTATTTATTTTGCGGTACTGGAGGTTGAACCCAAGGCCTTCTCACTGAGCCTTATCTCCAGCCCCTTTTTTATTTTTTAATTTGAGACAGGATCTCACTAAGTTGCTAAATTGTCCAGGCTGGGCTTGAACATGCAATTCTCCTGCCTCAGCCTACCAGAGTTCTGGGATTAGAGGCCTGCGTCTCACTTGCTGTCTTGGGCAGTATCCTGTTCTGTCGTTATTGATGTGATTATTATTGCTAAAAGCTTCCTTCTACTGACTGCTTGCCACCTACAGGCACTGGGCAATGCATGTTACCTAATCTCTTTACGTCATCCTGTGTGGTTACTACGAGCAGAGAATTAAGCCCATTTTAAGGAAATATAGGCTCTTAGAAACTGATCATGTTCCCCAAATCTGCATAGCTACAAAGTTGGGGGTCTAGGATTCAAACCCAAGCCAAGTAGTACCAAAACCTGGACTCTTAACCACTACTGTTATTGGCTAACTTTAATGCCACAATGCCCATCTTTATATAAAACTGAAGTGAGCCAGGTGTGGTGCTGCATACCTATAATCCCAGCACTCTGGGATCCTGAGGCAGGAGGATCAAAAGTTTGTTGATCAGAAATTATCATCCTGGACAACTTCATGACTTAATAAGACCCTGCCCCAGAATTGCATATGTACAGAGGGCTGGGGATGTAGCTCAAGGAAAAGGCTCTGGTTCTATCTCCAGTACCTGGGGCGGGGAATGGACACCCCCCAGTGAGCCATCGTCTAGCTGTCTATTGCTGGTAACTCATTAACCCAAAGGTGTGAGCCACGCACTGTTGTAATCACAGGTCCTGTGGGGCAGGAATCTGGCCCAGGTTGGCTGGATTTCCTGCCCAGGGTTTCTCTCAGGCTGCAGTTAAGGTGACCGTGGGAGGCCAAGCCCTTGAGGTCACTGCAGCACTGAGATCCTCAGAGGCTGTTGGCCTGCAGGCCTCTGTTCCCTAATGGTCGTGGGGGCTACAGCACCTCTCCATCTCCTGTACTGTTGTCTCCACCGTGGCACCTGGCTTTCTGGGAGTCCACAGCTGAGTCCGGAGAAGTAGCAGGCAGAGCTCCTACGCCCTGCTCATGGAAGCAACCTCCCACCCCTGGTCCCTGCACTGCTGGCTAGAAGGACATCAGCAGGTGCCGCCTGCGCACAAAGGCTGGGATTGCACAAGGGCACAGATACCAGGAGGTGGAGATCACTGAGGGTCGCCTTGCAAAGCTGTCTGCTGTTTCTCTACGAGGATTCATGGCTGCAATTAGTTATCTGTCCCCTGCTCCTTTGGCTGAGGGAACCCCTTTCCTGAGTTATGGTTGCCACTGCGGCACACACAAAGAGCCTCCCAAAGAAACACCACATATTCTCTCAGTTGACTTGGAGGCCCTTCCAGAGCAGCCACCTCCTTACACGCAGGATGCCAGCACAAAGCTAGAGCCAGAGCCTTTCAAATCTTCCAACATCCAGCCCTGAGACTGCACAACCACCGACTCAGAAAGTCTCCCCTGGGTGCTCCCAGGACCTCCTGGGTTCCGTCGCTGTGCCCTTCGAGGCCTGGGGCAAGTTCGGAGGCACCTTCTGCTGATATTCAGGTGAGAGGAGGCTCAGGGGCCCTGGAGCATGAACCTCAAGGCAGAGCACGGGGCCACCTTGCTGCCAGCCAAGATGGTGGAGGGCAACAGCGACAGCGAGCACATTAGCAGCAATGGCAACAGCAGCAGGCTCAGCGGCTTCCAGCCTGCGCCATGCAGCAGCCGCGGTGGCGGCGAGCAGGAGACACAGCAGCTGGCCTTGAGCAGCTGGACATCCAGAACAAGAGCTTCTACCTGGACATGAAGCAGAACGCCAAGGGCCACTTCCTCAAGATTGCTGAGGTGGATGCCAGCGGCTTCAAAAGCCGCCTCTTGCTGTCCATGGCACTTGCCTGAGTTCCGAGACTCGCTGGCTGGCTTCACTGAACACTACGCCCAGCTGGGCCCCAGAGCCCCGAGGAGCTTGCAGAATACACTGAGGAGGGTAATGGGCCACATTGTGGCCTCAAGAGCAAGTTCTTGGTATGCGAAAACCACAAGCCCTGCCTGGACCTCAAGAAAAACCAGCTCAGCCGCTTCCTGGGCGTCTACTAGATCATGGGCCCAGGCCCAGAGGCCTGCAAAGTGGCCAGGTGGTGGGCTGCCCAGGGGGCAGCAACAGGCGCAGGGGTGACCTGGGAAGGGAACTACCCGAGGACACCTAACTAAGGGACCAGATGGATGATATAAGCTCCTGGACAGTGGAGCTGCAATGCCTGCCTGTCTGGGGCCCAGGCTCACGCAAACGGCTTGATTTTGCTTGGCTAGTGTTTTCATACTCCCTGGATGATTGCCTTTGCAAAGCAGAGTGTCCAGTGTTGTGTTACTTGCACTCAATACAACCCCAAAGTAGGATAAGAGACCCTGGCAGGGGTTCAGAGAGTGAGGTCAGCACCATTTAAAGGTATTCAAGTTGATTTCACAGCACTGCCCAAATGTGGAGGTTTCTACTACCTCCTGGTCATGGTTTGTACCTGTTCCAACTGGGCAAAAGCTCTCTCCTGCTGAACTGAAAAAGCCCAAGAAGTGACATAGCAACTGTTACAAAAGATTATCCCTGTTATGGTCTCCTTTAGAGCATGGGGTCTGACAATGGACGACCTGCTTTTATGGGTGATTCAAGGGGTGGTGTGATCATTGGAAATTGATCAAATAAAATTGATAAAATAAAATCTACATGCAGCCTATTGGCCCCAGAGCTCAGGAAAAATAAAAAAGATAAATAGGACCCTATAGACAAGGCTAAGAAAACTTTTCCAAGGCACAGGACTCACCTGGGTCCAAGCCTTGCCATTATATTCCTCAGGACACGATGCAC